GGAGGGGTGGGGGAAGGGAGGAGGCTGAGAGAAGGGGCTGTGGGCGGTCCCTGAAGGGCCTCCAGGGAGACGCCTAGAAGATGGAGGCCCAGATTCTTGAGACATTTCTCTTTCTGATCTAGCAGGAGGGACAAAGAGCTCCACTCCCTCATTCCCCAAGAAGCCCCCAAGCCTACCCAGTTTCCGTGCCCATTCTGCCCTGGGAAAGCGGCTTCCCAGGTACCTCAAATTATAGGTTTGAATTTTCCAAATGGAGGTGGGCTTGGGTAGCCTCTGACATGTGGGAGGATGCCTTTGAGAGTCTCATCTGCACCTTTGTGCTCTGTTGGAGACTTGGCCTTATAGTCTTAGAGGGCCATGCGGTGATGCGAAGGCTGAGCCTTCTAGTCAAATAGTGAGCCAGGCAGCTTGTTAGTTACATCAAATCGTGGTCCTCTTGAGATCAAGGCCATACCATTCAAGACTATATATATATAATAAATTACTAAACTAGGGACTGATAGAAATAGAAGGGAGGCCATTAATGAGAGCTGTAATAGGTCAAAGAAGGTTCCCAGAGGAGATGAGACTTGAGTAGATCCTTGATGCAAGAGTACATTTGGATATTCAGGGTTAGGGCTGTGGATGCCAGAAAATATCTTGTTACGGTTGGGCAAAAGGGACAGTTACAGAGGACTTCTGGGAGATCTCTGCTAATAACTTTCCTTTAGTTACTCCTTCCCCTCTTTGCCTTTAATGAATGAATCAGGAGAGGATAAGGAATGTTCTCTTTATCCTCACCTTGTGAAATTCAGCTGGAAGCAGCTTCCCCTAGAAATATGGTCTTCATGCATCCAGTATAGAGCACTCATTGCTGACACAAAAGACTTAGTTCTAAATCAGTTTCTGTAAAAGAAAACTTCCCATCTATAGATTGATTCCCTAAAACCAGCAAATGGTCTCATAGATGCCACTAGTAACATGAACAGGGGCAGGTCATCTGGATCATTCAATACAAACACCAAAATTACACTATTAAAACAACTAAAGAACTGCCCAAGGATATCTGAGTAAGTTATAGCATTTTCTTTGCATATGAAAGACAGCACTTTTTTTTTCCCCAAATGCATACTTTGTTCCGTACACCCCGAAGTGAAGGGAAAGAAACCAAAATATAAAATATATATCACATAAAATGTTAATTGTAAAAATTAACTTGTAGAATTAAATTGTGAAAGACAAGCCATCTACAATAACTGTATTTTGTATTCATCTTATCTTTGGGAGGGGCACAGTGTTTTAGCACACATTACATAAATGACTTACATTCACTTAAATATACATACGTGAAACTAGGAGCAAAATAGTCTTCATTCCATTAACAATATGCAGACTCAGAGAAATCTTGGTTAGGAGATAGTTATAAAAACGATTATCTTCTACCAAATTGTTAGTCACTTTTACCCAATACTATATTGAACACTTCTTCCCAACTGATGTTTTACGATTATTAGTTGCATCTTAAATATCTTACCTGAGCTGGATTGCTGCCATCCAAGGCAATGGTTGTGTTAGATGCCTTGAAAAGTAGGTTTCTACAGACTTTTCTCCAAAAGTAATAAAAAATAAAATTCATATGTAAAAGTCATCAAGATGCATTGCCTACTGAAATAACTTTTTAAAATGAGTTTATTTTCTATGTAGTACAACTAAAAATTTAAATAACGACAAAAAATGTGTGTGGCCTAGTTCTGTTGAAAAAAAAAAAAGAATGCTTGTTCTTAGGGTTGCTGTTGATTTGGCCTGCAGTTACTAGAGAAACTCCAAGGATCTCATTCCCTCTATGGTTCATGTCTAGGCATGCCTGGAGACCAGGGAGACCCATGATTTAATCTAAGTAAGAATGCTTGTGGTGTTTTAAATGCCCACACAGAAGATTGCATTTGTTTTAGACTGTACCAGGAAGGCACCTTTCAGGGGAATTGTTTACTGTTTTAATTTCTGGGCTTTTGGTGATTAGGGAGATGGAAAAGGAGCCGTCAGGAGAGACAAGGTTGATGATTAAGAGGAAACCAAGAAGAGTATAGAAAACGAATACCTTCTGCTTTAGCTTTGGCACATTTATATTGACTTAATTTACCACTTCTAGATACAAGACTAGATTGATGGGAATTGGCAATTAGAAAAGATGGAGATGGGCCAGGCGTGGTGGCTCACACCTGTAATCCCAACACTTTGGGAGGCCAAGGCGAGCGGATCATGAAGTCAAGAGGTAGAGACCATCCTGGCCAACATAGTGAAACCCTGTCTCTACTAAAGATACAAAAATTAGCTGGGCGTGGTGGTGTGCGCCTGTGGTTCCAGCTACTTGGGAGGCTGAGGTGGGAGAATCGCTTGAACCTGGGAGGCAGAGGTTGCAGTGAGCCGAGATTGTGCCACTACACTCCAGCTTGGGTGACAGAGCAAGACTCCGTCTCAAAAAAAAAAAAAAAAGAAAAATGGAGACAATGGAGACAACATATCCCTCCCTTCAATATATACAAACTCACCATCTCCCACAGCTTTTGAAGGGTGTTATTGGAAGAGGAAGAAATGAAGAATTAGACTAATTAGAAATTACTGGATTTTAGCAGTTTCTTTTTAAACCTGTTTTTTTTTTTTTGGAACGGAGTTTTGCTCTTATTGCCCAGGCTGGAGTGCAGTGGCGTGGTCTTGGCTCACTGCAACCTCCGCCTCCTGGGTTCAAGCGATTCTTCTGCCTCATACTCCTGAGTAGCTGGTATTATAGGCAGCCACTACCATGCCTGGCTAATTTTTTGTAATTTTTGTAGAGATGGGGTTTCACTGTGTTGGCCAGGCTGGTCTCGAACTCCTGACCTCAGGTGATCCACCCCCCCACACCCGCCAGAACTTGGCCTCTCACAGTGCTAGGATTACAGGAGTGAGCCACTGCACCCGGCCTAAACCTGTTTTTATATTACTTGTAGGAAATATAAAACCATATCTTGGTTTATAGACCAATAAATGTCAGATTATTAACCTTCATGATAGTATACCTAGAAACTAGTTTATATGTTGAAGCAAGACTAAATTGAAGTCAATTCAGTGCCTTTGAAGAACTAAAAATCATTGAATCTATTTATGGGAGGAGATTTTCTTTTGAGCTAAAATGAACTGCCAGCAGTTTTTATAATTCCATATTTCTAGTTCCATTTTATTGTACTCTCATTAGTAAGAGTGCACCAGATTCTTAATTAGCTTCTTGCTTATATTTATTGATTAATCAATACTGTTGCTTTCAGTATAAAATGTTAATTTATCTTTCAGGCAAATCATAAGCAGTCTAACAAAATAGTCTTTATAGTTAAAGTTGCCGAAGCTCTTAGTTATGGCTTCAGTAGGAGCAGTTTGCATATTTTCCATCTTTAGAGAACAATCTCTAGGGATTTATGTGGTCTACTTGGTAAGATGGACAATGTGTGTATATATAGATAATTAATATGTTAATTATATTAGTATGTAATGTGAATATATCTTAATATTAATATAACTTATAGTAATAGATTAAGAACACATGTTTGTGTTACATATTCTATTTATATTATATATAATTATTTAGTATGAAGATGGTTATATGAAAAAGTGCTTCAGGAATCCTGATGACTAATACAAACTTCATTATTGCCAACATTTAGGAAAAAGGAAAAGGAAAATTATCAAAGGTTAGGACACAGAGAAGTCTCTATGGAAAAGATGAGATTGAACTGAGCCTGGAAGCAAAAATACTAGAGATGAAGAGGGAATGTTTTGGTAGCAGGAGCGATTTGTGAAGGAAAAACACAAGCACATTTATGGAGATTGTAATGTATGAGGCCAATTGGAAAAGCAATGAGTGTGTTCCCATTGGGGAAACAAGATTAAAGAGGACTTTAACATTTAAAGTCCTCCATGATCCTACTTACCTGCCTACTCATACATTTCTATGAAGTTCACAAAAAAAAAAAAAAAAAAAAAAGCCCAGGGAGTTTCAATTTCATTATTCGGCTCAAGGAGCCCCAGATGCATAAAATGCGTTGTTTTACAAGGATTCATAAAGTAGCATAGATTAGAAGAGGGACAGACAGAGGAGACTGAAAGACCATTTACGAGGTTAGTAAATTTCAGTATGAGGTGATGTAGAAAATACGGGATGAAGAGAGAAACTTTGCGAAGGAAACTTTGCATAACTTGGTTGGTAACTGGTTCAAGTGAACAAACAGAATAAGATTAACTTCCAGACTTCGATGACAAGTAGAGGTGTTGAGGGGGAAATCTAGTCAGAGAATAATTGTGATTTTAGGTGTAGGCATGTTTAGTTTTAGGTCATGGAAGAATATTGTGGTGGAGTTAGATATGTGGAGTTAGAACCCTGGCAGGAGACCAGAACTGAAAAGAGACTGAAGCTCTTTTATCCTCTCGATAGTTGAAGTCACGAGGAGTTCTCCAAGAAAGGTCTGCTGGCTGATTCTTCGTTGACCTACCAGTCCCTGCTATCAAGGACGCCAGAGTAAGTGATGACAGCAATATATTAATCTCGAATAGAGAATAGAATGAGGAAAACAGAAGGCTCAGGATCAAATCTGAGAGGATCCCTCTTCTCTTCAGGGGCTGACAGGAAGAAGTAAATCTTGGGAAGGGTTAGCCCACAGGAAGTGGAAGAGAGGACTCTCACAAAAACCAAGCTGTTTTAAAATTCATACACTTAGGAATTCAAGAGAATCTGCTGCATTGGCACCACCACATCGCCAAGGTTTGGTCAGTAAAGAATTAGCCATAGGCAGCAGATGATTGGGTTGGCTCTACCAGATTTTTTTTGTCCAGGGCTTTATTCATTGAGTTAATGAAGGATCAATGATCTTCTCTAGGTTATAACTAAAGAGACGAACTTTCCTGGCCTTGTCCCACTACTGATTGGCCTCTGTCATCTCTCTTAAAAACAAAAACCAAAAAAACCCAAAAACAAACAAACAAACAAAAAAACCAACCAACCAACAAACAAAAACCCTCACATAGATTTTCAGGTTTATAAAAGTAATTTTAAGGTTTCAGTAAGCTAGTTAGTGGTCTGAATGCACAATTGAAGAAAGTTAATAGACTTTCTCCTTCTTAAGAGCTCTAGGGTGTATTCTGTAACTCTATTAAGCCACAAGGAGAAAATGGACTGATTATCCTGTTAATTAATTGATTTACAAGAATGAAAATACTTTATGCCATCCTCTTAAACATCACTCTGTGTCTACTTATTCTTGTTTTTATTTCCACTGTCCTTATTTGGCACTTAAGCTTTTTTTTTTTTTTTTTTTTTTTTTAAGTGGGAAACTTATATTTAGTTGAAAAATTTACATAATCCTCATTTGTTATCTTTATTTCCTCTATATTCATAGAATATATCTCAAGGATTTTATCATGCTTACATGTAGTAAAGTTCACATTGTCCTTCCTGCTCTTAGCTCCTTTACAGTTTGTTGAAATATCAAGCTCAAATTCTACTTCCTAGGTAAAATCTTCCCTAGTACCTTTAATTCTTCCTGATCCTTTCTCTTCTGTAATCCCTTTGACACTTAATGTAGTCACTCTAAAATTAGTATGTTCCATTAGTAAGAGAGTATTATTCTCCTATATTCTAAGTGTATTTTGAATTCAGCATTTTACTATAATGGTATAGAGCGCTGATACATATACACATGTTTATTATATTAGTATAGAGTGTTGTACATAGGAACATTTTCTTACACTCTGAATTATTTTTAGTAAGTTATCTTGGTTTCTTTTTTTTAAGGGGTACATATTCTTGTTTGGTGCATGGGTATTACATGCGTAATATTGGGTATTGGGCTTCTGCTGTACTCATCACCCCAATATTAGGCATTATATCCAGTAGGTAATTTTTCAACCCTCCCCTTTGGACTCCCCAGAGTCTATTTTCTCTATCTTCATTTCTACATGTACCATTTGTTTAGCTCCCACTTACAAGTGAGAATATGTAATATTTTATTTTCTGCTTCTGGGTTAGTTCACTTGGGGTAATGGCCTCCAGCTCCATCCATGTGGCTGCAAAGGACATGATTTCATTCTTTTTTTTAAGATTATGTAGTATTCCATGCTGTATATATACACTCTATTTTCTTTATCAAATCGACAGTTGGTAGACATTTAGGTGGATTCCATGACTTTGCTCTAATTGTAAATGGTGCTGCAATAAATACACAAGTACAGGTATCTTTTTAATATAATGATTTCTTTTCCTTTGGGTAGATACCCAGTAGTGGGATCACTGGGTCCAATGATAGTTCTATTTTCAGTTCTTTGAGATATCTCTATACTGTTTTCCATAGAGGTTGAATTAATTTACATTCCCACCAACAGTGTGTGAGTATTCCCTTTTCTCTGCATACACATCAACATCTGTTGCTTTTTGACTTTTTAATAAAAGCCATTCTGACTGGAGTAAGATGGTATCTCAATGTGGTTTTAATTTGCATTTCTCTGATGATTAGTGATGTTGAGCATTTTTTCATATGTTTGTTAGCTGTTTGTATTTCTTCTTTTGAGAAATACCTGTTCATGTTCTTTGCCCCGTTTTCAATTGGTTTGTTTTTTGTTTGTTGAGTTGTTTGAATTTCCTGTAGATTCTGAATACTAATTCTTTGTTGGAGGTATAATTTGTAAATATTTTCTTCCATTCTGTGGGTTGTGTTTTTATCCTATTGATTATTTGTTTTGCTGTGCAGAAACTTTTGGTTTATGTCCTATTTCCCTATCTTCATTTTTACTGCATTTGTGTTTGGAATCTTCATCATGAATTATTTGTCTAAGCCAATGTCCATAAGGGTTTTTCCTAGGTTTTCTTTTAGGATTTTTATAGTTTTGGTTTTTATAGTTTTACATTTAGGTCTTTAATCCATCTACAGTTAATTTTGTATACGTTAAGAGATGGGGATTTAGTTTCAGTCTTCTGCATATGGCTAGCCAGTTTTTCCAGCATCATTTATTGAATAGGATGTCTATTTCCCATTGTTTATTTTTGTTGACTTTAATTGAAGATCAATTGGTTGTATATATGTAGCTTTGTTTCTAAGCTAGAGAACCCCATACTGTACCATTAATCTCTGGGTCTATTTTTGTACCAGCACCATGCTATTTTAGTTACTATAGCCTTGTAGTATAATTTGAAGTCAGGCAATATAATGTCTTTGACTTTGTTCTTGTCACTTGGGAGTTCCTTGGCTATTTGGGCTTTTTTTGGTTGTTCCATATGAACCTTAGGACTGTTTTTCCTAATTCTTTGAAAAATAAGGTTGGTAATTTGATAGGGATTGCACTGAATCTGTAGATTGCTTGGGTAATATTGTTATTTTAACCATATTAATTCTTCCCGTTCATGAGCATGGAATGTTTTTCCATTTATTTGTATCATCTGCAATTTCTTTCATCAGTGTTTTGTAGTTCTCCTTGTAGAGATCTTTCACCTCCTTGGTTAAATGTATTCCGAGGTATTTTGCTCTTTTTTGTGGCTATCCTAAGTGGGATTGGATTCTTAATTTGGTTCTCAGCTTCAATGTTACTGTTTGTAGAAATGCTGCTGGTTTTTGTACATTGATTTTGTATCCTGAGACTTTACTGAAGTTGTTAATCAGGTCAAGGAGTCTTCTAGAGGAGTCTTTAGGGTTTTCTAGGTATACAATCATATTGTCAGTGAACAGAGGTAATTTGACTTCTACTTTTCCAATTCAGATGCCTTTTATTTTTTTCTCTTGCCTGATAGCTCTGGCCAGGACTTCCAGTACTATGTTGAATAGGAGTTATCTTGTGTCTAACTTGAAACGTTATATATATGCATGTATTTTTTGTGGTCTTTCAAACAATGCCACTTACATTGTGAATGCTCAGTAATCTAAATAGAAAATAAAAATTAGGAAGAAGCTTGTGGCAGATAAAACACTTGCATAGTATTATAGGTAAAGGAATTTTACTTTGATCAGGCTACACTAAAATTAATTTCTTTTGAGTTCAAATCAACATTGTATGGCTGTAGAATTTTATTAGATAATGTTTTGGGAAATGCAATTTTGTTTCAGCAATTAATGTAACTTCCTTTTATGTGGCTTGACCATAGTGGAACTGAGTTTATGTGTGGGTTACAGAATCAGTTCATTGTTTTATAAAATAGTGCTACTTGCTTGCTGTTGTTAAAAAAATACTTTCTGTCAGAAGTAGACTTTTGCTAAAACATCTATACCTTTCCCCTCTTTGGCAATAACATGTATTTGTGAATGGATGGGTGAGCCTAGGGATATAACTTGTAGTTTAAGGAGGGAAGTTAAAGAAATGAAATGGGGTTATGATAAGACTGGTTATTACATCACAAGTTCAGCAAATTTAATATTCAATTCAGATGATATTTTAAAACTTCTTTGTCTATTTTTAAACTTTTATAAGCATAAATATTTTCATTTTATAAGTGAAGTTTAGCTAAAACCAAGAAGACAAATGTAGAACCAGATTTTCGAGTTTTGCCTTCATCAATGAACTTTGGGGCTTCACTATTCCTTAGCCATCAAGTTGAATTTCCTCATTTTAAAATGAAGAATGCAATTCTAGAAACTATTACTTGTACAAGGTCATGTCAGTCATATTCATATTTTATACCATTTGATTCTCTGTTACAGGCATAATAGGAAGTAAAATATGTCTATGCTGCTTCATCGCCTTTCTGTTCTCCAAATGGCCAGAACCTCTTATTTCTTGTTTTCTGTGGTTCTTCACCCAGACATAATCCCCTCACCCAAACAGAACACCATCCTGTTGCTCTACTGTGGATAGCTCATTGGACATTTTCAAAAAGAAATCCTTGAGGCCGGGCGCGTTGGCTCAAGCCTGTAATCCCAGCACTTTGGGAGGCCGAGACGGGCGGATCACGAGGTCAGGAGATCGAGACCAACCTGGCTAACACGGTGAAACCCTGTCTCTACTAAAAAAATACAAAAAATTAGCCGGGCGTGGTGGCGGGTGCCTGTAGTCCCAGTCACTTAGGAGGCTGAGGCAGGAGAATGGCGTAAACCCGGGAGGCAGAGGTTGCAGTGAGCTGAGATCCGGCCATTGCACTCCAGCCCGGGCGACAGAGCAAGACTCCGTCTCAAAAAAAAAAAAAAAAAAAAAAAAAAAGAAATCCTTGAAAGACAAGGTTTTAAGCAAGGGAATAAATGTCTTATAATGAGAATTTTAGACATGACAGAAGGATAGTGGGAGAGTTGTCAAATTTCAGCAGTAATTTTCTCTTCTACTTAGCTCTGGGATTGGCTTAGGCCAGACCAGGTTGGTTTTTCTGCTAAATTCTAACATCTTGTCAGTGGACATTACTACTTGGGTATTTAATTGCCATTGAAAGCTCAGTATACCTCAATCTGAATGAATCACCATTTGTTTTATACTGACTCTTCCACTGAACTTCATTCTTTCAATGATAACATTAATCTCTTGGTTACTAGTGTTTGAAACTTGGAGTAAATTTTGAGTATTTCATTTCCCAAACTTTACATCCAAGTCATCACTTGTGTATATATTTGACTTCTCTCTCTAGATAATAAGCCTCTTGAAAGGAAAGTTGAATTTTGATTTTACCCCCAGCCCCACTAATAGTGTCTGTGAAGTAGGTGGTCAGTAAATAGTCACTGAGTGTTAATTAAAACAGAAGGTGTAGTTGTCATCAATGTAAAGGAGGTGATTTAAATAATGTGTTTCAAGTCATAAACAAGTAACCGGAGGAAATCTTCCGTGATGTTTACTTTTTATTTGATTGTTCTTTCCTGAAATCTAAGTACATTGTTATTCTACCGTTCTATTCATAACTTGCAAGGCCTGCCTGGGCCTGTTGCAGAAAATAATGCTAGGAGAGGGTTCAAAACCACATTCATGTACTTCACCAACTCAAAGTGCAAGGGAGCGGTTTGTCAATGGGAAGATGAAGTCATGAAAGAATTATAAAAACACCTGGCACCATTCTATTATTGTAAATGCAAACTAGCCCTTTGAAAAGAAAAAAATTTTGTGTTAATGCATCTGTTGCCTTTAGTTCAGAAGCAAAATTTCAGCAGCACACAAGGAGTTACCCTAATTTTCAGCTTTGTCCCTTCTAACATAAATTTTAAAAAATAATCTTTGCAAAATTTACCCCAGCAAATGGCTAGAAAATATGAGAATAAATGATGCAAATTTGTCCCAATAATCTGTTAAACTTAAGGCATTATTAAGCAATCAAAAGTGTAAAATAAGTTTAAAATCTTCTTCACAGCTAAGGCAGTATCTATCTTAATGATTTCCACTTTTGCTGCACATTAGAATCGTTTGGGGAACTTTAAAAAGTCCTGATGTGTAGGTTGCACTCTATACCAATTAAGTCAGAATGTCTTGACCCGGCGTAGCGGTTCACACCTGTGAAACCTAGCACTTTGAGAGGCCAAGGCAGGAGGGTTCCTTGAGCCCAGGAGTTCAAGACCAGCCTGGGCAACATAGGGAGACCCCATCTCTATTGGAAAAAAAAAAATGTCTGGGTAAGGGATAGGAGGCAGACATCAGTATTTTTAAAAGATCTTCAGGTGATTCCAAGGTGCAACAGTTTGGGTACCCCAGCCACCGAGGAAGAGGAATGAGAACTATGTCATGGACAGTTGAAACAAACAAGAGACTACGGAGTTGGAAGATTATTAAGGTCCTACTTTCATGTTTGTTTATTTTAATATGTTCTGGGTACACAGTAGATATTTAAATATGTACTGAATTGAATTAAATTAATCTTAATTAAATCTTAAATCATATTCTTAGATATCAAGATGCTCAGCCATCCATTTCACAGTCCTTTTAAACAAGTTTTAAAAATTAATATATAATAGTTGTATGTATTTTGGGGGTACATGTAATATTTTAATACTTGTATATAATGTATAATGATCAAATAAGGTAAGTGGGATATCCATTACCTCAAACATTTATCTTTTCTTTGTGTTGAGAACATTACAAATCTTCTAGCTATTTTGAAATATACAATTGTTACCTATAATTTGTCTACTATACTAGAATACTAGAACTAATTTCTTCTATTTTTGTATCCTTAACCAACTTTGATAATCCTCATACTTACATTTCTTATACCTCTCAAGCATCAAAGACATTACAATAACCAGCATACTACCTAATATATGTATTTCATCTCAGTTCATCACTAGTGAAAGGTTTTTTAATTTTTTTGAGACAGGGTCTTTGCTCTGTTGCCCAGGCTGGAGTGCAGTGACACAATCATAGCTCATAGCTTACGGCAGCCTCAAACTCCTGGGCTCAAGTGATCTTCCCACCTCAGCCTTCGAGTAGCTACGGCTACAGACACATGCCACACCAAGCTGACTTTTAAAAGTTTTGTAGAGACAGGGGTCTTACTGAGTTGCCCAGGCCGACCTCAAACCCCTGACCTCAAGTGATCCTTTCGCCTGGGTCCAAAGTGTTTGCATTACAGGCATGAGGCTCTCTGCCCAGCTCAAGAACAAGCGCTCTAATGTTATCTATTACAATCTTAACTACAATCTTATGAGATCGCTATTGTATCTCCCATTTCACAGGCAGAAAATTAAGTTGCCCAAGGTTACACAGATGGTGAGTCCTAAAGTTGCAATTCACACCCAAATCTATCCGATCTTAATGCCCATATTTTTAAACTTTGTATTGTGCAGGAATGGAAAGATATGACAAAATGATAGCATTAGTGAAAAAGAGTACTTGCAAGTTCAATATGAGTCCGTGGTGTGATGTCACTGCCAACAAGGTAAAAGCCACCTGAGGTTGTGTTCTGCAATACAGTATTCAGAGGGAGGGAAGCAACAGCCCCGTGCTAGTCTTTAGGGGTGGAGCACACCTGGAGCATTGTGTGCAAGTCTGAGCCCCACGCTGGAAAAAAGGGGATTACTCACACACCTGACACTCACTGTGATGTGAGTACCCAGCATGGTGAGTGAGTCTATAGGAAAAACTGTCAAAAAGCTGAGACTATTTAGGCTCCACAAAGAGAAGGCTTAGGGAGGCTGAGTAGCTAGTATTTGAAATGTCATCATGTGGTGGAACATTAGACACGATTGGTGTAGTTCCAGAAGGAAAAACTAGGCTGCACATACAGGAAAATTGGAGGTAGATTCGCCTCCACACAGAAAGGAAGGTCTGGCTGTTATTTGGAGCTTTTTAGAAATGAAATGGACTTCCTTGTGAGACAGTGAATTCCTTTTCGCTAATGAAGAAACTGAATGATCACTAATCCTGAGCGTTAAAGACTTAATGTATGTCAGGTGTGATGCTTCTCAACACTTAGTGGGTATTAGAATCACCTGGGGGAACTTGCTAAATACTGATTGCTAGGCCTTACCTTGAGAAGCGTTGCTTCAGCAGATCTGAAATAAGGTGGGAGAATGTGAATTTTTAAATTTAATTTTTATTTTTTTTTTGAGACGGAGCCTTGCTCTGTCACCCAGTCTAGTGCAGTGGTGTGATCTTGGCTTACTGCATCCTCCGCCTCCCGGGTTCAAGCAATTATCCTGCCTCAGCCTCCTGAGTAGATGGGACTACAGGTACATGCCACCACGCCTGGATAATTTTTGTATTTTTAGTAGAGACGGGGTTTCACCATGTTGGCCAGGCTGATCTCTAACTCCTGACTTCAGGTGATCCACCTTCCTCGGCCTTCCAAAGTGCTGGGATTATAGGTATGAGCCATAGTACCCGGCCAAGAATCTGAATTTTTAACAAGAAACACAGTGAGTCCAGATCACATGGTCACTGACCCCCACCCTCTGAGAACTGGTGAGGTTAGATAAACTCAGATCTCTTCTACTTATCCTATAAATAAACCCTTTAGTAAAAAAAAGTGTCGTCAACATAACAGCTGCTCAAAGTTGTCTTAACAAGTTTTGTAAGAAATCTAAGGCAAAATTCCTTAATATGTTGACAGCTAAGTTAGAGATGACATCATTGGAATGTGCGATATTAGGATACAGGAGAATGCTTGATTCTCTGTGTTATAAAAGATAAGATTATAATAGCAAAATAGAAAATATAGATCCAGTTTGAAAACACTTCAAATAGAGAACCCACTCCACTTATGCCAAGGAGCAATTGGATGGAGACCAGATTGGCATATGAAGAAGCTATATGATTATCTCAATAGGCAGCACCTGTGTAAGGTGAAGCACCCATCAGCCGTTACGGCCCAGGCTTATATAAACTTCAGCCTCAAACTCACGAACAGGTGTGGGTGAGAGTTGGAAACATAAGGGATGGTGCAGTTGGTCTTTTAACTCTTATCCACTTTTCTTGGGGGCTAAAGAGCTTTTGTTGGCAAGTATAATGTGTTTGATTATTCTTAAAGCATGCAACTTGTGAGGCACATTTTGGAATTACTCTCTCCTGAAATATTTTGCTCTTTGTTAATATATCTTTAAAACGTGATGCTTGAGGTAATTACTATCCCATACCAGGATCTTTTTTAAGTTGCACAGTGATGTTTCAGTTATTACTTAAATACTTTAAAATTTTAAAGACTTTTTTTCCTTTGAAAACCTTTAAAACTGGGCTATTTAAGGAACTGCTGTTCTTGGCTGTTATGTTAATTGATAGTGTTCATGTACTTACCTAGTTTACTAAGGACTTCTTTCTAGCAAATTATCTTGGTTTTAAATTTAAGGTATGTAAAATTTCCAAATGGCAATTAAGTATTGATATTAAGTTAAACATTTCTTTCTATTTCTTCTTCCTTTTAATGATTCAGACCTCCTTATCTATTTTTCTTGAATCATGAGAGATGAAATTGCAACAACAGTTTTCTTTGTCACAAGATTGGTGAAAAAACATGATAAACTAAGTAAACAGCAAATAGAAGACTTTGCAGAAAAGCTGATGACGATCTTGTTTGAAACATACAGAAGTCACTGGCACTCTGATTGCCCTTCTAAAGGGCAAGCCTTCAGGTGAGAGCTAGTATGTGGGATGGCAAAGGGAAGCAGTCACCAAACAACAGCCAGCTCCTAGGAAAATGGAGTGATCTTGTTTTCAGCATTTAAGTAACGAAAGTTTTATGGGTTCATTTGTTTGAACGTGGAGTTGAAAGGAGGAGACATAGTAGATGACACTTTGGCTGGAAACAACAGAGCAAAGCCAAAGGTAGATTAAACAATTTTTAATTTGTGTTTGCCATGAAAGATAAGCTGTGAATAGCCGGTAAACTAATTTTGTGACTTAGTGATGCAACATACATTCTGAGCCACTGTATCAAAAGTTGATGTCTTACTTGTAAGAGTGGAGAGTGGAGGAGGCTGAGGGGAAGGTGGGGGTGAGGTGGGAGCTATGTGTATTGGAACGGTATGTGCATAATGTGATTCTCCTGCTAAAGTGCCTGTCATCATGTCTTCATCTCCCTTCATTTTTTTAAAAGGTGCATCAGGATAAACAACAATCAGAATAAAGATCCCATTCTAGAAAGGGCATGTGTGGAGAGTAATGTGGATTTTTCTCACCTGGGACTTCCGAAGGAGATGACCATATGGGTAGATCCCTTTGAAGTGTGCTGTAGGTGAGTAATCTCATAGTTTGTGTGCTGTGTGATACCTGGAAACCTTAGGTTAGACAACTTTACATAAGTTCATGAAAGATGATGCACCAAAGCCTTGAGTTAGCAGCAGGGACACTTCTTGGTTAAGATTTTAGATGCAAACTTCTGTTAGACAATGAAGACTTCTATTCAAAGTGGATGAGGTGGAAAGCACAATGATTTTGCAAAATATTTGAAATGTGGCTTTAATCACTGCACCTTATTACAAACTATAGATTGGTAACAGTATCTATTACAAACTGTAGGTTGATAACAGATAAGTATTATAGGCAATATCAGAAAGGAAGTAGAGTTATCTATCATGGGACAATTCAGTTCATTAACTGAATCAAAAGAAACTAGTCTTTGTTTTTTTCTGAACAATTAACCAAAATAACTCTTATAGAATGTCCTCATTTATAACAGTGTAGTAGGTGAAGGTCATAATGTCCTTCAATTTTTTAAGGCAATCTCTTTTAAAATAAGTTAGCATATTGTCTCCCGGAAAGATTAGAGACAAAACTTGTAGGAAGTTGAATCCCTAATTAGTACTTAAATTTCTTTTCCTACTTAGGTATGGTGAGAAAAACCATCCATTTACAGTTGCTTCTTTTAAAGGCAGATGGGAGGAATGGGAACTATATCAGCAAATCAGTTATGCAGTTAGTAGAGCCTCATCAGACGATTCCTCTGGCCCTTCCTGCGATGAAGAAAGTTGTAGCAAGGAACCTCGTGTCATTCCTAAAGTCAGCAATCCAAAGAGTGTTTATCAGGTCAAGTGTGTTCCAGTTCTTTTCTATACGTTTTTCTATCTGATTCTAAAAACAATGCACTCATTATGAAAACAAAGAAGCAAAAAAACATGGAAAGAACAAAACTGTAGATTTTTAAAAGCCAGAATCTTAATATTTTGGCAAAACTTTTTCTGTCTTCTTCACTGCACAATGTATTCCCTACTCTTGGCTGAGCTTTTAGGATCTACATATCTGCATAATCTTTTATTGTCCTATTTCTTCATACAGTATTTGAAGACACACAGGTTTCCTTCCACTTAAATTCCTACAGAATCAAAGATTAAGATTAGTGAGCTTTGTTTTTTTTTCTTTTTTTTTGGTCAATTGAAAATACCATGGCATTTATACAAAATTTGGATTTAGGAAAGGTCAAAGGCCTATACATTGTGTCACTAGAGCAGTTTTTCTCAACTAATTTTTTCTTCTTTTTAAACCATAACCCATTGAAAGATATGCATATTTACATTTAAAAAGTTTCCTGAAACAGTGTTTATCTTTACTAGGAGCAATGCTCCCAGTACTTCCAATTAAATTCATTTGATTTCAAGCATCTAAATTGATTTCATGACCCACAATTTGAAAAACACTGAACTAGAGAGAATTTGTTAACACTTTATGTATATATTTGTTTGTATGTTCTCTTAATCACCTATGTATTAAATGTTAAAGCAATTGAAAGTTTAATATTCATTTGCCTCCCTTGTAACTGATTATTGGCAGAATTCTAGACTGTTTCCACATGGTTGTAGTATTTTTTAAAAAGCTGATAACTCGTATGGTGATGCCTGAATTTTAGGTTGTTTCTTGAGGTTTGATTCTCAAGCACAGAACTACTGGGTCACCGAGTATGAACATTTTACTGGTTTTTAATATGCAGCCGAAACACCATATAGAAAGTTGTATTTATTTGTAGTGTCACCAGCTGTATGTAAAAGTGCCTGCTCTGCCTTTTTTTTCTGGTATTGGCTATTCTCATTTAAAAAAACAGATAATTTGATTAACATGATATGCATATGTAATACAGTATTTGTGAAATTAAACATTAAAAAATTCCATGTGCCCAAATGTTTTAGCACCTACTCGCTTACAAATTTTCTCTTATTCACCCATTCATTATTTGAAGTTCTAATATATTATTATAGGTTCTTTATATGCCGGAATGATTTTAACCCCTTGTCGTATTTCTGGCAAATGTTTTGTCCCTAGTTTTTTAAACTATGTGTGTCATTGATAGTTTCTTGGAAACAGTGACTTTAAAATGATGTATGACAAAGCTATTTTTTTCCTCAGTGTTATAACCAAACTATGTTATCCAAAGTCCTGCTGTATGTCATTTAGCTTAAAATTAGTTTCCAAGAACCTATCGAGGTTGTTGAGTGAGGATTTATGGTATTTGCCTTAATTCTATTTTTATTTTTAGAAAGGTCTTCTTTCATTTGGGGATCAGACCTGTAATCAGCTCTATCCTTTTACAGCAATGTCTTTTCAAAGTGTGATCTGTAAAACATCTGTATCAGTCATCTAAGGTGTTTAAAATGAAGATTTCTAGGCTGTGGCCCCAGAGATCATGAACATGCAGTTTTGGATTAGGCTGGCAGGCGTGAGGTAGGGATGGGAGAGGGACAACTCAAGAATAAACATAAACTTGAATAAGCCTATTAAAAAGTTTTTAGTTGAGTTAGTTAACTTTTTAAAAAGGTACAGTATAAAGCGACTTATGTTCCTGCCAAGTGCTAGAAAATTTTTCAAAGATGGTTATGCACTTTTGATTCTATTTATTTGTGCTCCCTATGCTTTTGAAGTGCTTGACTTTTGAATTATGAGTTCATATTTAGTCCTTACAGCTAGCTTATTAGAGATCTTTATGCTTTTTTTTCCAGGTTGAAAACTTGAAACAGCCCTTTCAATCTTGGTTCCAAATCCCCCGCAAAAAGAATGTGGTGGATGGCCGTGTTGGCCTCCTGGGAAACACTTACCATGGCTCGCAGAAGCACCCTAAGTGTTACAGGCCTTCTATGCACCGGGTGGACAGGTACCACTGGGTCAACATACACCAATGACGCAGCGACTGGGCACATGGTGGGCGAGAGCTCAGAGGAGCGCCTTTATTCTAAAATAAAAATGAATTTAAGGTTGAGAGGCCCTGAAACAAAAAATGACCATATTAGGGATGAGGGTACACAATGGTAAATCCTCTCATACAGATCATGACTGTTCTTAGCTGTACTTTTAATTCTTATTTAATTTTACTTGAAGTTTTATGTAACATTAGTGAATGTACCCAGTAAGGTAACAGAATGAAGATATTGACCTGTAATAAGACTCAATGAATTATGAAAAGTAATGGTTTAAATAAACGTACAGTGTTTTTAATGCTTCTTAGTTCAGTTCGTTGCAAGAAACAAACTTTTAAAAGTTTATTTTTTGTAAAGAAGGGGTCTCCCTATGTTGCCCAGGCTGGTCGCAAACTCCTGAGCTCAAGCAATCCTCCTGTCTCAGCCTCCCAAAGTGTTGGGATTACAGGCGTGAGCCACCGTGCCTGGCCACCATTCATTCTTACTCCCCTCACCCTCTACCACTTGCTAGAGGGAAAGTTGATGACTCTGCAGTCCGTGTCTCTACAAATTTGATAGCAGTGAGAATTGTTTTGGCTGCTACTTTTCGATGTTTATGGTATGAGGAAATGCCCGTTAGGCTGGTGAATTTTATCTTTGCTAGATTTTATAGATTTTAAAATTAGGGAGGGAGATTCTACAATCCAGCTTCACTCTATTAGCCAAAAATAGTTTGACTCTTCTAAATTCTGTGTCTCTAGTTGTTAGAAAATTCCCAAAACCTTGTTGACTGGACCCATTCCTGCTCATGCTGTTTGTTCCCAGCTGGGTCCTTGCCGTTGTCTGGCAGTTCCTGTTAATCTCCACTTAAGACGTTTTGTAGCTGTGTCTTCTCTATCTCTTTTTACTCCATCCTCCTGTGCTCTCAGCAGGGGACTTGTTCTTTTTGTTTTCTCCTACTTCAAAATTTTATCCCCCCCTTCTCCTCTCTCATCTCCATTTTAAGACTTTGCTCTTCTCCAGTCGCTTGTATCTTCTCCCTACATCTTGGTTTTCTTGCTGAATTTCTGCTGTTAGGTGGTTCTGGATCCAGGAAGCTGGTAGCACTGAATCAGTCACAGCTTGGTTCTCTTGTGAGTAGACTTGTGCTTTGGGCCAGTGGCTCTGAGTAGATACAAAAAGTTGTGACCTTGAGTCCCAACTCGGGCAGGACATGCCAGCAGTCAAGCTAGTGCTGACGAAGAGGGGGCTTGATTCTAGCCTCATTACTTTGGGTGCAGCTCTTAGTAATCATTTTTCTTTTTTTTTTCTCTATAAATGGATGGTTCATTAGGCCACATAGCAGCATTATTTTGTGGGACAAACTCACTTATCTTTAATGGCATATGAGGTCAAGTTTCTCTGCTGAAAAATGAGTTTGTCCTCCCTTGAAGAGCTTTCTGCTATAGTATGGGAGTTGTTGTGAACCTCCCCAGATTTTTCTCAAGGTAACCACAACACTAGTTTACTGGCCCCTCAGCAAACCATCCACTGGAGGTGGTTGTGATGTTTGCCAGCCTCCATACGTGTGTGGGTGAATTCTGGTCTCCAGAAAATGGGGCAGAAATAAGACTACTAGCAATGGGTGTAATTATTAGGCTTTAGGATGCTAGCATGTATGTGAATGTACTTTAGTTTAATCCTTAACCATCAAGTTAGAATTTCTGGTAACATTTCATTTTCTCTGCCTCCCTACCTTCTACCCTTGTGCAGCAATTGTTATTAGTTACCTGTCTGGTCTTGTTCTCCATCCTAAGGTAATCTTTACTCTTCAGTTTAAAATGTTTCAATCAGGAAAATATTCAAATTCTAGAATACGGTTTCTGGTCTTAATGACTTGAGTTCTTGCATGTCTTTTCAGCCTAACCTCGACTCTCCTTTTGGACTCTGTTTTTTATTTTCTTGTTATTTTTTTGTTTCCTTTGAGACAGAGTCTCACTTTGTTGCCCAGGCTGGAGTTCAGTGGTGAGATCTCGGCTCACTGCAACCTCTGCCTCCCAGGTTCAAGTGATTCTCTTGCCTCAGCCTCCAGAGTAGCTGGGACTACAGGCGTGCGCCACCATGCCCGGGTAATTTTTATATTTTTAGTAGAGACGGTGTTTCACCATGTTGGCCAGGTTGGTCTCGAACTCCTGGCCTCAAGCGATCCACCCACCTTGGCCTCCTAAAGTGCTGGGATTACCAGGGACTCTGGTATTTAAGTGTTCTTGATTGGGATACTTCTCACCTTGCCTCATTGTTCTCCCTTCACTCTTGATCTTTGGGTATCACTTGAGATACCATCTCTTCCAGGAAGACTTCCTGATCCCCAAGTCCAGTTTGTCGTCATATGTTAGGGGCTCCTTACAGCATTCTGTCTGCCCCTAGAAGAGCACTTAACTATTGTAATTGTTTCATAGGTATCAGTATCCTCCCAATAGACTGAGTTTTCAGAGTACGGATACCTCATATTCCCATTTAACGTTGGCATATAGCAGTGTTCAGATTTATAGACTGGATGACTTTATTGGTGATTAAACGCTTGCCTAATATATAATCTGATACACAGCATTAAATAATGCTTGTTGGTTGATCATTCTCTCAGCGGAGTAAGAAGTACTGTGTTCTAGGCTGGGCATGGAGAACTAATTGCTGTAAAAATCTGAAGTTGTTTGGTCTTTACATGTACAATTTATTGGACTAAAAAAAGACAAATCAACCATATATAATACTTGCTAGATATAAAGTGCAACATAATATTTGGATATGACAAGAATGAGTGATCTTTCAAGAACCTTTACACAGTGGGTTTTATTAATAAAGTTTCCCTTGTAGTCTGCAAGGTTGGTTTAAAAAATTTTCCAGCCAGCAGAGGTGACACTGTACTCTTGAACCCTATGCTGCTGATGGACACTGCTAGTCAATCACAATGTTCTGATTTGGGTTCAGAGATTGCCTCATAATTCTTGTAGCATAGTACTTGAGATGACCATTATAATTAAGTGTTCCAAATTGGTACTCAAGAAGAAACCAATTCCACCATGTGCTAGGGTTTGGCTCAGAGGGAGCCATCTATGAACATTTGAGCCCTGTGTAATCCTTTATAGCCTCTCAGGAGGCTCTGAGCAATTGTGTAGGGGAAAAAATAGAATCAACTATATATTTTTACTGTGATTAAAAGTAGTCAATATACTTGAAAAGCCCCTAAATACATTACTATCATATCTATTAGTATATTTGTATAATAACCAAATTAGATCTTCCTAATCTACATTTTGAAAATTTTCTATGATGAACATGTACCATTTTTCTTTTCTTTTCTTTCTTTTTTGAGATCAGGCCTCACCCTGTCACCTAGGTTGGAGAGCAGTGGTGCAATCTTAGCTCACTGCAGCCTTGACTCCCTGGCTTGAGTGATCCTCTTGCCTCAGCCTCCTGAGTAGCTGGGACTACAGGTGCCTGGCTAATTTTCAATTTTTAGTAGAGAACGAGGTCTCGCTATGTTGCCGAGGCTGGCCTTGAACTCCTGAGCTCAAGGGATCCTCCCGCTTCAGCTTCCCAAAGTGCTGGGATTACAGGCATGAGCCACTGTTCCTGGCCTTCTCTTTTTTAAAAAAAATTATCTTGAGGTAATTATAAATTCACATGCAGTTGTAAGAAGTAACATAGATCCCATGCATTCTTTCACCTAGTTTTCCCCCTTGGTAACATTTTGCAAAACTTTAGTACAGTATCACAAGCAGATACTGACATTGCTACAATCAAGATACAGAACACTTCCATCACCACAAGAATTCCTCTTGTTGCCCTTTTATAGTTGCACACACTTCCCTTCCCATCCCTTTCTTAACCCCTTGGCAACCACTAATCTTTCCCCTGTTCTTTTAATTTTATCATCTCAAGAATGTTATAAATTAATCATACTGTAGGTAACCTTTTCGGATTGGCTCTTTTCACTAAGCATAGTTCTTTGGAGATTCATCCAGGTTGCTGCATGTATTGGTAGTTTATTCCTTATTGTTGCTGAGTAGTATTCCATGGTATGGACACACCACGGTTTAGCCATTTACCTGTCAAAGAACAACTGAATTGTTTCTGGATATTAGGAATAAAGCTGCTACAAACATTTGTGTAGACAATGTGTGAACATAGGCATGTATTCCAGAGAAATAAAAACACATGAGTGGAATTAATGGGTCATATAGTAGTTGCATGCTTAGTTTTTAAAGAAACTGCCATTTTATGTTCCCATCAGCAGTGTATGACTGATTCAGCTTTTCCACATACTTATCAGTCTTTGGTATTGTTATAATTTTTTATTTCAGCCATTCTGATGGGTGTGTAGGATATCTTAGTATGGTTTTAATTTGCATGACCCTCATGGCTAGCGAAGTTGAACATCTTGTGCTCGTTTGGCATCTGAATATCCTCTTTGATGAAATATCTGTGTGTCTCCTGGCCATTTTCTAATTGAGTGCGTTGTTTATTTTTCCACTGAGTTTTGAGAGTATTTGATATATTCTAGACACTGGTCTTTTGTCAAATGTGTGGCTTGAAACTATTTTCTTCCAGTTTGTACGTTGCATTTAAAAAATTTCTTCATTTTTAATTACTATGGGTACATAATAGTTATATATATGGAGTACATGTGATGTTTTGATAGTGATGTTTTGGTACAGGCATATGATGTGTTATAAATCATGGTAATGGGGGTATTCATCATCTCAAGCGTTGATCATTTCTTTGTGTTAGGAACATCCCAATTTCACTTTCAGTTATTTATTTTTTTTATTTTTGAGACAGAGTTTTGCTCTCATTGCCCAGGCTCACTGCAACCTCCAACTGCCAGTATCAAGCAATTCTCCTGCCTCAGCCTCCACAGTAGCATGCGCCCGCCACCATGCCCAGCTAATTTTGTTTTTTGGTATTTTTAGTAGAGATGGGATTTCACCATGTTGGC